CGAGTGAAGATATTTTTATAGACAATGTTATAATTTATTCAGTTAAACTCAAAAAAACTATGAAATTTTCCTCTCGAAAATTTGTAACCCTCTTAGAACATAGGAAGTGCGTTTTTTACAGTAATGAATAAAAAAAAGAGTCCATTACATTCCGGATATAGGATAATTTTGTTTTAAACTACCGTGTTAAATAATTATTTTATTTTATTTTAGATTACTTTATATGAATATTATAAGTTAAAAAAACATTTTTTTTTTTTTTTTTTTTTTACTAGCTTAAGTACATAAATAACTTTTATCCAGTAAAATATAATCTTAGTTTTCTTCTACAACTTAATATTATAACTTTAAAAAGTTCAATTTCTCATATTCAAATAATTTAATTAATTGATAGAATATTTAATATTATAATATAGACACACTTAATATCAATAACTATCTATCTATCTCAACATTAAGCACTAAAATTCTAATGATCTACGGAATGTCACACAAAATACTGTTATAATTAAATAAATTGATTACTAAAAGCTAATATTAATAATAATAATAATAAAAAAAAGTAAAGTCGATTTAGTATGAGAATACTACTAACTAGATTTAAAAAATTAATTGCAATAATCCTATTGCCATAAAGCAGCGTAATTCCCAGACATATTAGCTGGCAACGGTCCTCCTGCGGAAAATAATCTTGTTCCTGAGTAGTCATAGCAATGTGTATAAACTGCTGGTGTATATCTCATATAACCATCTTCCCTATTAATGTCTTCAGGACACTAAAAATCAAATATTTGATAAAATGATAACAAGTGCATACTAAGTTTACAAATGACAGCACTCACAACATAACCTCGACTTGTTCTTAATACAACTGCTCTACTTGTATTAATACTAGACAACTCTAAGTATTTTTCAGCTCGTGTATCATAGAACATTATAGCACCAATACCTGTTCCAATTGTGATTATATGATCTTGAAAACTTAAAGATCTTATTCCTGAAATAAAATAAATTAAAATAGAATTATTTTATTTTTATGTTTTTCTTTTTAAATATATCAATATACCAAAAGTTTAAATTGTAACTCTATAGTTTTAATAACCATTAATATTAGGAAAAGTATTATATAATTCAATAAAA